TGTTTGGAGAGCTCGGTGCGGCGTTTTCTGCAGTTGGAGCGTCTGCTGCTCGGAGCCCAGGATCGGGCCACGCGGGGCGGGTCCCGGCGTCGTGTCCAGCGCGGGCGCCGCTGGAGCCGGACACCCGTGTCCTTCAGCGCCGAGGAAAGCGAACGGCTCCTCCGAACTCCGGGGGCTTGGGGTCGGCGTCAGGACGGGGGCTTCCTCCAGCTGGGGGAGGGGGTGTCGTGGCCGAGACTCGGGGGGAAGAGGCGGAGACCCGCGCTCCCCCTGTGCCGCGTCTCCCTGCTTGTCAGCCTCCGGGGTTCTCGCCTCCGCGCCCTCCACCCTTCCTCCCGGAGCGCAGCTCCCGCGCCTCCCCGCGCGGGTCGAGGCTGCCTGCCCCGCGTGCGCCGGTCGGAGCTGGGGGCTTTGGGGATTTGGGGGCCCGCTTGTCGCTCCGACTTGAAAAGCGAAAGGAAAGGCGAAGAAGCCCCGGCCAGCTCACAAGCAGGGCTTTGTCACCGCGGCCCTCTAATCAAAGTGGAGACGCGTGGCTATCACACAGAATTACAAATAGCCCCTCATGCATTATGCACGCGGCCCGCTGTGGGGGAGGAGAGGGGCGCCGGGGGCGCGCGCCCTGAGTGGGGGTGCGCAGCAGCTGCGGGGTGCAGGCGCCGGGCAGCCCGGGAGGTGACAGTCGTAGCCCCGCCGAGGCCACCCCCTGCCCTTGCCACCGCACGCCCCACGGAGCACCTGTTCCTCCCCAGTGGGGTCTGGGGACCCCGCTGGCAAGTGAACCAACGTCTCCATGCAGGAGGCTGCAGGCGTGAGGAAGGGAGGCGACAGAAGGGGGAGGGGACGGGGAGGCGGAGAGGGACAGGCTGGGGGAGGACGGGGCTCTGGGCCACCCGTGACTTTCTGAGGTCCTCAGAGGCAGCTTAACTTTTTCCTCTCCTCGTTTCTATCTGCCTTCCCACCAATCTCCCTACTCCTCCAGCCTCGTGGGGAGGTCATGTCGCCAGGGACCTGGTAGTGAACCCCAAGCTGCTGCCCAGCCACCCCCCGCTGCAAAGCCCCCTGGCCCTCCTGTGTAACTCAGGGCCGGGGCCTTCCCTGGGGTCCCCTAGGCTGTGAGGCCTCAGGTGCCCCCGGCATCCACCCCAGACCCCCATGCAGGGCTGCCCCCCACCTCAGAC